TGTGAGCACACCCTGGATACACCACTTGTGCTGGGAGTGAACTGTCTTCTGAAGTCACCCTGTATCCAGAGATTCCAATTCACCTTCACCCAGTGGGTAAAAGCTTCAAAATGCCCCATAGGGCCCTGGAGAAGGCGGGAAGCTTTCCTGTCTTGCTGGGAAACTGACAAGGGGACCCTGCCATGAAGTTGGGAAGGACATATGAATGTCGGAGGTATAGATGCCTGAGAGTCACGTTCCCCAAGAGACGTGAGTGCACACAGAGCCTGCTAAGTGTGCAGAGGCCCTAAATTCTATACCCAGGGCATCCCAGGGGGCAGGGCAGGGAATGAAAAGGGGATCTTGAAAAAGCTTCCCAAGCTATGTGGATGATCCACCAAGTTTAAGAATGCTTATTTTGATTGCTATTCTCTCTCTCTCTCTCTCTCTCTCTCTCCCCCTTTCCCCTCCCTCTTCCCCTTCCTCCCTCTCCTTCTTCCTCCCCCTTCCTCCATCCCCCACCCCCATTTAAATTGAGAAATTGTAAAACTAGGGAAGGTAAGACTTGGAAGACAAGAGCAAATGAGTGAGAAGAGAACACAATACCTTGCCAAACTGACAGATAATAGCAGCCAGCCCAATAAGCAGGAGTGGAACCCACGACCCACAGGAGGAGCTACAGGACCAGACAGAAGTAAAGCGGAATGTGAGCCCCGACCCCTGCACCTGAACCCAGAGCACAGACTGGATAATCCACCAGTGAGCAGCGTGAGAAGGGGACCAGAGCAAGATGACAAAGTGCAGAGCGAGACAAAGTGGGGCAGGGAAAGTATTTGTACATAGAAGGGGGTAGGCCCCAAGGGCTATGGAGAACACACACACACACACACACACACACAGCTGAGCAGGGGGCCTCTTAGAAAGCCGAGACAGGACGTTCACAAGTTCAAGTATGGGCTACTTAGGGAGACCCTAGTTTAGAAAAAAATAACAAAATAAAAGGAGGAGGAAGAGGGAAGGGAAGGGCAGAGGAGGGAAGGAGATCACTGACTGTTTAGAATTTGACAGCACCAATAAGACTCAGTCTGCAGGCAGATACCCAGCCCAGCGGAGCGGTTTCCAGCCTCTATCCTGAAGGGTCTCATTTTGATCCCTTAAGCTCCCTCCAAACATTGCAGCGCAGTAGAGGGGTCTGGCCGTCCTGTTCACTAGTGTGAGTGCATCTTGGTGTGTGACTGAGTGTGTAAGGGTGAGGCCACCAGGTCACAGCTGCCCACTGTAGCAGGGTCAAGGTCTCCAGGTCAGAAGGGGCCAGCTGGCCATCAGGGGATGCAGGATATGAAACAACAGAAGGAAAAGGCCAGAGTCTTCTAGAAAGCAATGCTGCCTTGAAAAGAAGGTAGAGTCAAGAAAGAAGCATCGGCTGTTAAAACACCACACACACACACACACACACACACACACACACACACACACACATACACACACACACACTGAAATCCTCAATAGGACAGAATGTCCCTAGAGGCCCTGGCCTGTCACCAGAATGAGCACCATGCTATCTCAACAGATGGGACTGATTTGACCACTACCTGGTCTTTAAAACTACAAAGGAATTGCCTTCTTTTTTGGGCCAAGCTCACAATGATAGTCCCGAATGAGAGGAGGATTCTATCTCCTTTATTGACAGCTCCAGCCTCGGGGCACAGCACAATGTTTAGAGACATAGTAGATACTCAGTGGATGGGCTGCAGGCAAGGAATTGGCCCCAAACCATTTTAATCTCATGTCAGCCATTAACAGCAGCCTCAGCAGAAAGCAACTCTGTAATTCATAACCTGTTGCTTAATCCCTAACTGAACTGCTGTGTGTTTGGATGCGGCCCAGGAGACCATTGGTCTTTACAAGACAGACGGCCCCAGAGCCAACTCTGACAGAGCTGTCTACACAGCGGCTTGGCCCCTGCTCCCTTGGGAGCCTGAGACATTGTCACTGCTGGTCTGCCATTGAACGAAGGAGCGTGTTAGGGCTCGGTGTATCCAGCACCCTCAGGCCGAGAGAGTTCAAAGGCCTTGCAGAAACATGGGGCATGGGAACAGCACTGGCTAAGGTTAGATCTGTTGTCCCCAAAGTCACACTGGTTTGCTCTTCTTCTAGTGGGTGACCTTGGACCTCACTGAGCCCTGTAGACCTCACCTGTAACCAATACATAAGAGCAGCCATGACTTCAGGGATGGCAAGAAGGCTCAGTAGGTAAAAGCACCTCGTACAAGTGTAAGGACCTGAGATGGAATTCCCAGAACTCTCGGGGAATATGGACACCATAGCCTGAGTGTCTGTCATCCTGCTGGTCCTCTGGGGAGATAAGAAATGGAGACCGGAGAATCTTCCAAAGCTAGCTAGCCCAACATACGCAGCAGAAAACCAACAACCATCCTGTTTCAAGATGGAACGTGGAGACGGACACTGGGGTTGTCCTCTAATCTCTGCATGCCAGCCGTGACAGGAAAGCACCCATACTCACAGCCAGCACTGCACAGAGAGGGGAAGAGGGAGAAGGAGATAGAGAATGACCTCACAGGGGCCTGCGAGACAAACCAGGAACCTCACAGAATGACCAGCACTACACCTGCTGACTGACCTGGGGCGAGGGAGAGAGAACTGTGATGACAGCCACTAGCCATCGTATCTAGGACCCAGCACGCTGCTCTTCAGCAGCTCCAGTCACTTCACCTACCCGCTCAACCTCAAATCCCTGCTCTCTGCTACAGGGAGGACATGGGTCACCAGGATGAGGTAAGGAGAGAAAGATCGAGTGTGTTAAGAACCCCGCACAGAGCCGGGCGCAGCTCATCAGTGCGAACCGGCACTTTAGCATCATTGCAGGAAGTTGTATGCGCCTAAAACACCCATGGGAAAATTCACAGAGGCCATTTGCCGTACACAGATAGGTCTTCCACACAGCTCCATCAGCTGCAAGGTCCTCGGTCCTCCACCGGCTCCAAGAAAGAGCTTCTGACGCCGCTGTCTAACCTAGGCAACATCTGGAAGTCAGTTCTAGGGGCACCACTGGTCTTCCCCGGTGAGGAGCAATTCAGCTGCTCCGACTGCCACTGCCCCCACAGTGCTGAGCCTGACGGTGAGCTAGAGGACATGCAAATCCGCCCTAAAAACAGCTTGTCATCTTCACGGCCTGGATGGTACACATCTGTGGGTGCCTGTGAGGACAGAGCGTCACTATCGAGTACAGGGCATATGCCACCAGTCTGGGGGTGGCTGTGAAAAGTAAAAATACCCAACCCCAAAATGGGTCTTTTTTTTTCTCCAAAAAAAGGAAGCTCCTCCAAGGTCTTTGGGGGAGGTGAGAAGTGGAAAATGCTGCGCCCCAGGCAGGTCACAGTTGGGCCAGCGCTTACTGGTTTCATCAAGCTTTTCACGGCCTCAAAGTTCAATGACACCGTTCAGTTAGCCACTCTCCTAACAGAAAACCCCAGAAAGGACCACTGTCAAGTAATGGGCGTAGGAAGGGGAGAAGCAGAGGGCCAAAGACAAGGGTCCTCTGTGACAGAAGAACGAAGTCAGTCCATTCCCATTTTGGAATCAGTTGTCTTTAGTAGACACCAGTGATGTCCTTAATCCAGGTAGGTGTCTCCAGCCCAGAGACTCCAGAAGGGGCCGTGCAATGGTGGGGAAAACAGCTGGCAGTAAGCTGGTAAAAACCAGCAGGAACAGCAGAGCCAAGGCCCTAAGGAGGCACCGGAGTCTATGGTAATCAAGAGAGACCGCTCTCTCCATCCATGTAGCCTTTGGGACCGGAGCAGCGTGCAACCAGATTTTCCAAATTTTTTGCTGGAAATTTTAAGTGAAATATCGGGTTGGGTTGCTCTGAAAATACTGAGCAGGCCAAAGCAAACACCTCTGAAAGCCAACTTCAGCCTGCAAAGAGTGAGTCTGCTACTTAGGGCAAGCCCCCAGAAACCCTTCTCTGCAGCTTTCGTGGTACTCATGTGGAGAGAGGGACTCGGAGAACAAAAACCCAGTCAACGCACATCGTGCACAGCCTGACACCTTCCTCCATCCCAAATCCCCGTCTCCACAGTTTCCAGCTTCCAAGCTCTGAGTCTCCACGGAGGCTCACCTTAGCGTGTGAACGCTTCCTGCAGGCAGGACCACACACGCATGATGCTTGGTTACTGCCTGTTCCCAGCCCATCCCAGCTACCTCTACATCCTACCCCTGGCTCCCTCCAGGTGGTGGATTTTTAGAAGGCATAGCTCGGCAGGAACCCTCACCAGATAAACCTTAGGACAAACCAAATCACCCGCTCTGGGTGAGGCATGCACTACACTGGTACACACTGGTAACCACTGGTAACCACGCTGGGGACTGTTGCCTCTCACCAGTCGCTGGGGAACAGCTGTCCTGACACAGGCGGGTCCTGAGAGCAGGCAGCAGGTGCAGGAGACCTCAGAAGTGGGTGCCTTCCATGAGTCAGTCCTCTGCAAACCCCATCTCAGGCAGATGGTGCTGGGGACTGAAGCCATGCCTATCTCTGCAGCAGCAGCGCAAAGAGGAAGGCTCCACTCTTTTTCCCCCCTAACTTCCCTTGTTTAGCTCCAGATGGGAGCCAAAAAAGGGTAGAAGCAGTGATGTGACCACGGACACTGACCTTTAAAAAGAACGCGATGCCCTCTATGAGCATCTCCATGACCTCTGTTGATCCTCCCAGCGCCCAGGACAGACTGCTAAATAGGATTAGCCTCGCTCTCCCCTCACCTCCTAGACCCACAGGCAGGGTAAGCCTTCCGCCCTTGCCCAGTGTGGCTCAAACTTGAACATATGCATGAATACCCTAGAGCTTGGTAAAAATACAGGTTCTGAACCAGCAGGGCTGGGGTGAAGTCTGAGTCCCCGTCCCTCCTGCTGGTTCTCAGACCACACACTGAAGAACACAGCTAAGGTTCCAAGGTGTGTTTAGAACCAAACCTGGACACCTGGGCTTTGGGGAACAAGGGTCTCACCTCACTCTTCACGGGTTGGGGCCTCTTGCCCAGTTTCACCTCCAGGAAGTGCAAGGGTGCAATCATGGCCCCAATGTTGCGGATGTCAGCGTATTTCAGCTCCTCTGTGGTCAGAGCAGAGCTGGGAAGTCCGGTGAGGGGGCCGAGCCCTGGTAGAGAACCTGCGGTCACTGAAGGGTCTGGGATCTGCCCAGGCATCATAGCAGGAGGAGTGGCAGGCCGGCCTGGAGGGGTTGGAGAAAAGCAGGAGGAGCAGGTTAACATGAGAAGAGGCTCTGTGAACCGCCAGAGCCCATCCTTTCCTCACCAGGGTTCCCCTGAATCCTTTCTCCTCCCTGGCAGGCGTTCTTCCTGCCTGCAAGCCCCAAGTCTTGGTGATGCAGGGAAACTCAGCCAACTGACTCACACGAAGGCCATCCATCCAACTGTAGGCAACGTTTATCTGGCACTGGCTCGGCTCCAGGTTGCCCGTAGTTGTCCCACCCACACCACACCAGACCTGACCAGAATCCCTTGCAGAGGCAGAAAGATAGCTCCTGGGGGCTCTGCACATAAGCTGGTGGACGAGGTCTCACCAGCAGCAGCGGCCTCTGGAGAGACTGCACGCGCACAGATGACAGTGGAATCTTAAGCACCTTCGCACCTGTTCAAGAGGCAGCTATTTCTGGTCTGGCGTGGTGCCTCCCCTCAAATCACACATCCTACTCTGCACACTTGCGAAGACGCCATGAATACAAGATGAACTTAAGCGGAGTGAAAGGTGACTGTGTGCAGGGAACACACTGGGCTAAAGAAGAGGGACTGAACTTGTATGCACCCTCTCCGCACACCACCAGGAAAGTCCTTAAAATCTCTCTACTCTCAGAGCCCCGTACAAGGAAAGAGGCACAAACTTGAAAGGGCATAAAAGGGGGATCAACGCCCAGGGAACTCTTATTTCTTCCTTCCCTTTGCTGAGGAAATCTTATGGGTACGACATAGTCATTCCCAGGCAGATACAAGGGAAGAAAGTCTGTTGGCCAAGAACCATATCTAAACATCTAGATGTATTTAGTCCTCCAGCCCACCCGTCCATCTACCCATCCACTCTTTATCCTTCCATCCATCCAATTACTGACCAGCTATTAGGAGCCAGCAGGCACTACAACACGGAGGTCAGAGTTTCATAGCCTTAAAACAGCCCTGTATAGGGCATTCTAAATAAAACTATTCACACATTCCAGTGTGGTAAGGGAAGTAAGTTCTTGCTTTTCCCACTGCTCTGCCCAGGTCCATAAAAACCAATCTTTACAGTCTTAGAAATCAAGGGTAGCGGGCAGGCAATGGATATGCGTTCAATCCTCCCATCGTCTTCTGTCTCTCTTTGGAGGACAAATAGGCCAGGAAGGGGAGATGGACATCCACTGGACCAGGTTTCTCTGCTGTCAGAGTTCAACTACTCACAGGCCATGTTTGGGGCCACCTGTCCTCATACACAAGTGACCCTGGAGAGTGACCCTCACCACCTGTCCTCATACAGTTTCTCGGATCCAGACCCAAGAGAAGGGTAGACCTGGAGTTCATTTTATCTGTGAATACAAGACACACTCTCCATTTCACCTCGGAGGGTTAAACCTGCTTCCCTACCAGGGTCTTGGCCCTACTTATTTTTTAATTTTCACTTTATTTGGTGTGTAAAGGTGTTTCGTCTGCATGTATGGCCTGAAGGCCAGAGAAAAGTGCCAGATGCCCTGGGACTGGAGTCACAGACAGTTGTGTGTACTTGTTGTGGTTGTTGTTGTTTTAACTCTTTAGGGGCCCCACCACCCAACTCCCAAATAAATACACAGAGACTTATTCTTACTTATGAATGCCCAGCCTTAGCCTGGCTTGTTTCTAGCCAGCTTTTCTTAAGTTATCCTGTCCACCTTTTGCCTCTATTCTATATACCCTTCTTTCCTTCTTACTCCGCAGCTGAGTGGCTGACCCCTGGCTTCCTCCTCTCCTCCTTTTCCCATTCTTTTCTCTCTTGTTTATTCTCTCTGCCTGCCCGCCCCGCCTATTCTTTCTCCTACCTAGCTATTGGCCATTCGGCTCTTTGTTAAACCAATCAGGTGTTTTACACAGGCCAAGTAATACAGTACATCCTTACAGAGTTAAACGAACGCAACACAAAAGAATGCAACACATCTTTGCATCATTAGACAAATATTCCACAGCAGAAACAAGTGTGACGCATCTTCAAATGATATTCTACCGCATCTGCGAGCGACCATGTGAAGGCCAGGACTGAAACCCAGGGCTTTGGAAGAGAAGTTAGTGCTCTTTCCTGCCGAGCCATTTCTTAAGCCCCCTGGGCCAGTCTCTTAAAATACAAGAGCGTTTGCACCCTCGAACGACAGACTTCATTGGACGTTATTTGTCTAAAGAAAGGCAGACTTGGATGGTGAGTTGGCCATTCCCATGGTACCGCAGGGCCTCTGTCCATCACGTTGCTCACAGAGTCCCTGTTTTTACGAGTCTTCATCCTAGCTCCGCCTATTATACCCTCAATATCTGTTCTCCCTTGTCTCAACACCCTCTTCCCACCTCCTGAGCACCCAGTGTGCCCTGGGCCACCTCAGAAAAGGACCGGAGATTCATTCACATTGAGTGACAGGCTCACAGCCAGGGAAGGCCCTGAACTCATCTGAACCACATCCTCATTTTGCATGAAGAGACGAGCCTGAAGCTCAGAAAAGTAAAATGACTTGCCCAGGGTCACACAACCAGATAAGGACAAAACCAAGACTAGACTCTGATCCATTGTTTTAGAACCCTGCCTTTTTCCCAGTTCCCTTTGGGAGGTTCAAGAGGTGTTGATGCCTTCAGCAGAAGGCAGTGTCCCCTCCTGACAAACTTTCACCTAAGAGCCACCGTACAGAACTCTCTGTTTCCTAGGAGATCCAGTAATAGGAAGTTCTGCCTAATGGCTCCAAAGCAGCTTGAATAAGAGGGACAGCCCTGAGGCCCCTCCCACATGGACATACCTTAGGCCCAAGATGGTATCCAGAGTCAGGGACAGAGTTGGGGTCTGTGATGCAGAGGGTCTGAAGCTGGCACAGGAAGAAGCCTCCCCAGAATACCCCCAGGCAAACAGCCATCCCCTCCCCCCTCCAGGAGAACAGGAAAGGGGCAGCTGCCACTTCTTCCTCATCTGTGGCAGAGCTTTGCCCGGGTGCAGCTAGTCAACCCCCCCCCCCCAGAACAGGTCACACCAGCTGTTGTTCTGGTGACCCCATTGCCTACTGTCACCTCTGGCACACACAAAGCACAATGAAGAAAGACTTGGTGAAAGAGTATGTGCGAGAAGAAATGAACAGTAGCAAATTCATGGCCAAAGACTTCAGTATGTAGGGTACAGATCTCTCTGGAATCTCAGAGGCTCTCTGATAAGCCACACTTTTACCTCCAGGCCATTTGTTCCCATAGAAGAGCCCAAGAGAAAGCCCTGAGGGCTTTGGCCCGTTTCTCGTCTCAGACATCCCTAGGAGATGGAAGCCAGACCTCATTCTGTTCCCGGAACGGCAGGCTCTGTTTGCAGCTTCTGTTTATGTTCCTACAGATGGTATACACGAGACACTAACAAATACTCCTGACGAATAATGAATTTTCTGCTACCGAGGAACCCCTTCTGGGAATAGTTGCCCCCCAAATTCTTTCCATTTTCTGCTCCCCTATAAGTCTATCCCAAAGACAAATCTTGGTCAGGGGACCAGATACCAGGTTTTCCTTTGAAGAAGCAAAAATCACCCTCTCCTTCCCCTGCTTGGGAACCCTAACTGCTCAGGCAAACCACAAAGTCCTTAACACATGCCATTCCTAGGAGGCAGCCACAGCACTGACATTCACCAGGGAGGAGTCATCCGGGCTGCCTCGGGGGAGGGGGAGGGCAGAGGAGCAGCAGCAAAATGGAAACCCCTTCATTGCAAAGCCACCAGTTGGCTACACAAGCCCAAAGGGCAGCTTTTGGTGTTTTGGACAACAAAAACAATTCCATGTGATTTAGGGAATCTCTAAAAGCCAAAGGGTTGGTGGCGCTAAGAGGAGTCTACTACTTCGAGGAGGACACAGGAAAGAGGACAAGAGGCAAGTCACTCCCCTCAGCACTTGTTCTTGACAGAACAACTTGGCGGGAAAGGAGAAGTGCACACTGGATGCCCAAGAAGAAAGACCTAGATTTTTCTTCCCTTCGGGGCCTAGGAGGTCTGCAGTGACGAGAGACACCCATCACGGCTCCATGAGGAAGTAGGATCATGAGTACAGGTCAGGTTCCCAATTTCCCCCATTTGGATCTTTGCCTAAAAACACAGGAAAGAATCCAAAGGGACTATGGCGAGTTGGGACACTGACCAGGGATAAGTGGAAAACCAGCCAATGAAGGGACCCCAAGCTAGGTATGTACTAAAGTATCACCTGCTACTTTGTATGCAAAAACAAAAATTAATTTAAAAAAAAGGCAAACAAACAAAAATCTTGGAAATGCTCAAAGCCAAGATGACAAGCTCAGTACAAATAAGACTTTTAGAAACGGCTCAAAAGGTCCCAGGGCCCCTAAGCCACTGTGGAGCTAAGATAACGGGAGAACTGACACAGCCTCCTGAAAACCAGCTTGGAGAGAACAGACCAGATGGGCTCAACGGATAAGAACTGGAGGAAACATTAGTATTTATAAGTCTGTGCTGACTTCCTCAGGGACTTGGAAGAGCGCAGTAGGGTGCTGCGTTGGATGCGCAGAATAAAAAAAAAAAAAAAAAAAAAAAGCTTTTCCAGGCCCAAAATAGCCAGTGTCAGATATTAGCACGAAGTCCTTCCACTCTGAGTAAAGGGAGCCGTAATTTATTCAGCTTCCACCTGCCTTTCTTGATTACCGTATGGAAAGCAACACAATAAATACCTCACGTCTCTTTGTACGCCTGTAAGTCATGGTCTTACCTTGGCAAGCTGCACACGTAAAGGGCTCTCCTTAAATAATCAGCATCTTTCTCTAGAGTGCCAAAAATAAGTTTGTGAAATTAAAAAAAAAAAAAAAAAAGACTAGCGGAAAGGGACATGGAACCTAACTTCTAGAACATCAGAAAAAGTGCAAGCTCCCTGGGCCCCTAGAAGGACAGCTGCTCTCCACAGCAGCCAGCCTGGGATGACATAGGGAATGCTGGGTAAATGGACCCAAGATGGCCTCAGGTTTGAGGCTCCGGACTGAGAGAAAGTAGAACAGGAAGGAAGAACAGAACAGGGGCTGAGCAAGATTGCGGGTGCAACCCCAAGAGCAGGACTGGAGCCAAAGTCACAGGCAGGCGGCAGTGATCAAAAATCAGGACAACTTAGGAGCTGGGCTCTGGGAGGCCCCCAGGAGGGTAGAATGTCCACGGAAGGGGACAGAGGTGGCAGGCAGTAACCAGAGTGCAGGACCCATGGTTAGGAATCCCGGGTCAAGCAGGATATGATGGGGTTAAGAAATCTGGCCAAAGTCTCAAAGCAAGGAAGCAAGGCCAAGGCCAGGACATGATTTGTTTTCAGTAATCTGAATGGTTCTGCCAAGCAGCCTTCAAACCTAGAAACCTGGGGCAGGAGGCTAAGGGGTGGGGAAAGTACCTGGATGATAGCAATGGCTGCTCTGACGTCTACAGGCCAATGAGAGGGGATCCACAAGGCCGGATGGTTCAGTGTGAAACCCTGCTATCTTTGGGACCTCAGACAAACCTATGACCGCTCTGTGCCTCAATTTCCACGCTAGAAAGCAGGAATGACATCGTTTGCCTCGTATAGAGAAAATTAGATTACTTATCATTTACAAAGCACCTGGAACAGCCCTTCGCTTGATGAGTGGGGGGGGGGGTGTCAGTGTGGCACAGCATTCCTTCCTATGGAGGCACCAGAGCCAGACTACCCCTCAAGACGACCTCAGGTTCGTCCCTCTCTAGCAACGGTCTCTCGTCCCATCATCATGAAGAGGATTCGCCCCACAGGATTCCCTGCGCTAACAAGTCCCAAGAAGGCAGGGCCATATTGCACCTTGACAGTAAACTACAGCATAGAAAGCAAAGGTGTTGAGCCAGGGCTGGGTACAAAAGAACAGAAATGAGGCCTGGCATCTTCAACCTGCCTCGGTTTCTCCGAAAGTGTCCTAAAACTTGCAGGTCGATGTGCAGTGGCATGTATTCTTGGCCGCAGGTGCTACTGATGGGCTAGGGCTGTGGCCCTGCTCGGGAAGCAGAGTGCCAGCGTCGTGCACGTCTTTGGCTGGCCTTTAGGGGTTCCTCATGGGCTGCCATGGGAAGACGAAGAGGGACAGTCAGGGTCTGGAGAAGGCACAGTGTACTGGCAGGAATGACTTCTGCAGAGCCATCCCAGCCACGGAGGAAGGAGGAACTGTCGTCGTCCCCCCCCCCACCCCCTAGCAGACTCCTGCTCTTCTCTGGAGACCAGAAAAAAAAAAGTCTTTCACAAAGCCCTGCCTGCAAAAACAGCTCTGCCCTCTCCCAATGTAGAGGATCAATAAATGGCACCAAATGGTCTGTCAAGACCCATACTGAGGAAGGCTATAGGGAACCGAGAAGGTCCTACCACTCTTCCGCCTTCCCTCAGCTCTGTCCCTCAGTGGCAAGGCTAAATAGGGGACAGACCATGGTGTGTGATGGCTTTGGTCCTAAAAAAAAAAAAAGACATTGGCCAGCTAAAGTTTCGGAACCACCAAACCCCATGGGCTGCATCCAGAAATCAGACTTAACGGTGGGCTCTGGCCAGCCTTCCCACCTCCAGTGTGTGCAAAGAAAGACTGGAAATTCCAAGCCTAGGTCACTAAAGCATTTGTTTCTGCTGAGTCTCAACAAACCACACACACACACACACACACACACACACACACATGAACACACACGCAGGCACACTGAGCTTGGCAGCCCCGGAGCTCCAAGACGGGTAACACAAACCATGGAACCGACTGCCAAGACAAGCAATAGAATGAGCCAGACCAAGTTTCATTGGCCACCATACGTTGCATATGGCCCGGGACGAAGCCAAAACAGTGTTCTCACCCCCCTCAAAAGGCATAGGAGACCCTCTGTTTTCAAACACACCTCCACAGAGCCTTAATTAAAGGAAAATGGAAAAAGAGTGTGCCTGTTACTCTCGGCCTGCCTACAGAGGTATCCGCACACGGAGCCCTACACACTCTTTTTCTCTTCCTCCAGTTCTGAGCTTCAGACACAATTCATTCCCGTGGAAAGAAAAGTCCGCTACATTCTGCCACAGAAAAGCATGTAAGTTGTCCTCGGCCCTGGATAAGGTTGGAGGGGCTGAGAAGAGTTCCTGCTGAATGGCTACAGAGCAGGCCAGCCTCGAGTCTGTGCTGATTCCTTTCTTCCCAGAGGGGAGAGGGAGGGAGGGAGGGAGGGAGAGAGAGAGAGAGGAAGAGAGGGAGATGGACTGCAACACCAGTAGTTACTCCTTAACAGACAGGGCCCACAGCTCCTGGCTCTGCAGGCTGAGAAAGGTGGGAGAGGGGACACCCTGCACACAGGTGGGAGAGACAACAGATCCAGGGGGTGGGGGAGTTCCCTGCTGGCTGCTAAAGTAGGCAGGAGTTTTTCCTAAATGACACAGTCACCATGACAGACAAACCTCCTGAGAGATGACTGCAACCAATGTATTGACAGAAAACTCAGAGGCCTTCTCGTCCCCCCCCCCCCCATCCTTCCTGCAGCCCTTCAAACCACACAGCACCCAGCTCTTCAGAGAGATGCTGGAGCTGCCTGCTCCTCTGAACTGAAGCCAGCATGGAGGGGAAACAGAGGATTCTTTGAGAAATCTATCCTTCCTACTTAAGCACAGCAAAATCTCAAGTACCCAGAGGCAGAAGAATAGTTCATGTTTCTAGTCCCCCGAACCTCAGGTTTCTGCAAAACCAAGAGTCCCGCTCACACCTGAGCCCTGCTTCAACTCTCCCCTAGAAACCTGCACAGGAAGATAAACCTGCCATCCAAGCTGCAGCCAGATTTGTTGAAAAGCAGTGAAAGCTTGCAGGGAGGGGAGTGATTTTTTTTATCCCTTTTTAAAGGGATACTTGGGAATGCGGGGGTGGGAGACAGTTGCTAACAGTCCCTTAGGACAAGCAGGTACCCACCCTGCTGTGGTGTAGATACTGTTTTCTTGTGTTCACTGAACTAAGGTCCTGGGTAGAGTGGACTAAGATTTTTAACAGTCCACACAGGGCAAGCCCTTCTTAGACACGGACCTATGTCACAGCACCCTATCCTGAATGCCACGCGAGAGGTGCCACTCCACCACACAAGGAAGAGCTGGGCAATCTAGCAGGAGCTGTCTCAAACAGTCGATTGATTCCCTTCTTGCACCAGCTTCTCCACCTCTATCCCCAAACGGCCCATCCATTTCTGCAAATGAGCCAAGGCTTCCCAGGCTTGCCAGCTCCCCCAGGGACCCAGGCAAAGCTTGTCTCTGCCACTCCAGGGTCCAGGAGTCCAGATGGAAGGCCTAGACTTCTTGGAGAAGAGGGACAGAAGAGTGCCCTCTTAAAACTAGGCAGGTTACCTAAATAAGCCTGCTTACCTTCTTATGTAACCTGATGTGCGAGAATGGGATCCCAAGGGGATCCGGGACTACCCCGTGGTTCCCTCCTAACCCAGCCAGAGCCCGCGGCAATGGTCCTGAGCAAAGGAAGCCCTGTTGGTTAGATACCTTTCCCAATACCCTCCTCCCGGTCCTGCGGAGCTTTGGAGACTGGGGCGCGACCTGTCAGTTGGTCTGGGGCGTGCATGTCCCCTTCGAGTTCCCCCGCAGTCCCCACGACAGTTTTCTCCCGCTCACCCCGCCCTCTCCACCGTCCGTGCACAGCACCTCCCTGCACGCGCACTAGGGGAGGAAAGCGGGGCGGGAGCGCCCCGCTGTCCCGGCCGCAGACAGGACGGCCCGGCCCAGCCCGGCAAGCCACGGGTGGGCAGCGGTTGCAGCTCTTCCGTAGAGCGCTCAGGGCCCCGGGTCGGTGGGAGCCCCCAGCGGTAGCTACTTCGACGGTGGCCGCCCCAGGTACCCGCGGCGGCGCGCCCCGCCTACCCCCCCCGCCCCACCCCCCCGGGCACCCACCGTGCAAAAGCCGCTGGCGGAGGCGGCGCCCCCGGGCCCAGAACCCGGCTGCAGGCGCCGTGCCCACTCTGCGCCGCTGCCGCCCGCTGCCCAGGCCCGTCCCGGCCCGGGAGCCGCCGCGGCGCCAGCCCCGCCGCCGCCGCCGCTGCAGCCTCAGCCGCCGCCAGCGCCCCCCGTCGCGGTCGCCGAGCGTCCCTCCCGCAGGCTGTGGCGGGCGGCGGGACGGGTTGCATCAGCCCCGGCTATATAGCGGGCCCTGAGTCGCGGCGGGGAGGGGTCGGGAATGCGGAACCGGCCGAGCTGCCAGCCCCACACGTCAGAGGGGGGACGGAGAGGAAGAGAAGGAGGGGACGGGGAGGAGGGGGTGTGGATCGCGCGCTTCACACCCACTGACCTTCACCTCCCCCGCCACCGGCGGCCTCCTCCCGTCGCTGCTCGCACTCCTCCGCCTGCCGGGCCGGCCCGGGCCCTGCCATGCTCGTCCTGGCAGCATCACGGTCCCGCGGCGCGCCCCGACCGCGGCTCCCGAGAGCGCGAGGCAGCAGGACCCGGCGAGCGGTTATGTAAGCGCATCCCCTGCTCGGCCGCACGGCCGCCACCCCCGAAGCGCTGAACAGCCAGGGAGGCAGCCACGCAAAGGCGGCGGCCGGACGAGCGGAGAACCCCTTCCAGCTCAGCCCTCGCTGAACCATCGTCCTCCTCCGTCCGGTGCGCTCTCCTCCCTCCCCCGCCTCAAACCCTGAGCGAGGTGACGTTCCGCGCAGTGATGTCTTCGGACGCTGCAGGATCTCGCAAGCCTGTTTTGTTTTTCCGTGCAGGAGCATGGGCGGAGAGATCAAGGCGTTTGAGAGCCTCTGTCCCTACCCACTGTCCACCAAAGCAACCCGAGGTCCTGAAGCCACGCTGTGAGTGGACAGAGACCCAGACTGGAGCTGCAGTTTGAGGCCACTGTTGTGTCAGTGGCTGATCCAGTTTGACCCAGGGCTCTTTGCCCAATCCCGCAGGCTTTTGCCTTCCTTTAAGAGGATGCAGCAGTGAGCAGACCTGACTTCTGCAAGACCTCCAACAGCCTTCTTCCTCAAGGACTCTCAGGACTGGCTTCTATGCCCTCCTCCCAACCTCCTACGGAGGTAGATGGTAAAGGACACTCCAGAGAGAACATGGCAGTCCTTCAAAGGCTGGTACACAGAGCCCTTTGGCAGAAACACATGTGGCACCTGAGAGCTATTATTTTCATCCCAGGTTTTCAAACCCTTGAATGACCAGTCCGTCCCCCCCCCCCCTTTCTGCTTAAACCAGAGAGAGCTGACAATGTTGACACTCAGTGACCTTCAGACTCCTTTTCAGAGAGATGGCAGGTCATCACCCATAGAAGAAAGGAAGTGAAAGAAAAAGCTCAGAGAGTACAGATGCTCAGAGTGAAAGACTTGAGCACCAATGTGCCAAGCCGGGTGAGCACAGGTCCACGTGCTTGCCTGCTGGGAGGCGTCATTCTCTATGCTTCCCTTACATCTTCCCGCAGGGGAAAAACAGGTTGACTGGGAAGAGACCGTCCAATGACATGGCCTGTCCATCCTCACAGTCACCATCAGCAACCTCCCTCAAAACACTGATGCAAGAAAAAGGAAAGTAGGACCTCCAGAGGAACACGCTCTGCCAACTCAGTAGTAATGGGATAGTCTCGTAGAAGAAAGAACCTGACTCTCCATCCTAGAAAAGCCAGTGACACCTTTACCAGGGTACAAAAATCAAAGCTGGTGACTGAGAAAATGGCTTACATGATGTTTCTCCCCCAAGATGAGGGTCTGGGCATTTATGTGAAAGAAAACATTGAACACGGGAAGCATTACTTTATGAATCCTCTGTTGGGACTTTGAAAAAGCTAAACTGATCTCTGTGCAGGGACTAATAATTAACACGTGTGGTTAAAGTTGGTCCTCTCGACGGCGTACTTTGGAGCGTGGCTGGGTGACTGGCAGTACTACTGGGCCTTTTCTTCCTACACAAATTGAGTATGCTATAGGAAAGGCACTAGGGAGGCCACTAAGAGTCTCTTCCCTCTCATCTCCCATCATATCCACTTAGGCTCCCCCTTTCTTATACAGATGTTCTCCAGTTTCATATACACATACAGCTCAAGACCTGTCTTCCAGCCATACTGTTTCCTACCAGACCCCTCTCCGCAGCCATTGCCTGTGGGAGAGGCCGAGAGGGAAAGGCCACAGCTGGGTCCTCTGTGCAGACTCACAGTCTCCTGATGGAACTGATCTACCTCGGGCTCCCAAGGAAACAGTGGTCTAGCCTAAAGCAATCTGAATTTAGGTGTCTCCTGCTACTAAAAATAGGTCCTGATTAAGATGCACAGCCATGGCCGGTGAGCTGATTCAAAGGCAATCACGTAGCCCAGACCAAACGAATGAGACTAGGAGTTTTCCCAGCGACAGACTACCAGAAACTGACCTGGAATTCACAGGTGCCACCTCAGCTAGGGAGTTTATGGAGGGAAGTCAAGCCACCGAGGAGCGAGTGACAATGGAATGCCCATGGCACCCGGTCCCTATGTCCAGCCAGGCGGGCTTTTTTCCCTACCCCTGGAGATTTCAGTTAGGGATCTATGAACTGTGGCTGGTCTGAAGCAGCTTGGGTTTAGATCTCCTAGTATGTGCTGCCGGAGTCCTCATGGAGGGAGCACGTGTTGGAGTGGGGATAAAGCCCCGTTAGTAGAGTGCTCTCCTAGCATGGTCCCTAGCATCAGCACACATTCAGGGGAGTGGAGCAGACCTAGAAATTCAGAGCTTGGGTGGTAAGGGCAGGAGGATCTGGAGTTCAGCTACACAGTGAGCTTCAGGTCAGCCTGGTAGCCGTGAGACCCTAGGTAAATAAATAAATATACATTGGCTGTCATATCTCTTATTTGGACTAACCTGTTTTAAAGGTTACTGGATATTGATAAATCCCAAACTCTTTGCTGAGGAAAAAGTGAATTGATGAGTTAAACCAGTTCCCTGGAAGTGTCCGTCAGCGTCAAAAGAGGAAGCGATAGTTCTGACTAACCAATCTGTCAGCTCACAGGCACACTCAGTGTTTACTGAAAATCTGCTGTATGCCTGTGACCTGTGACGTGCACAAAGACGCGGCTCCTCACCTGTCCCCACCTCCCGAGGAAAACCGAGTTAAAAGAAAAAAAAAATGAGCCGCAAGGTCAAGTGTAGCTGGAAGGTAATTATGTGACCTGAGCCGTAGGCACTGCAGGAGTCCAGGAAGGAGTCTCACAAGTCTCCATTCCAGCTGTTGATGCTGTGGCAAACAAGTCTGAGGTCTCTGTACAGCATTACAATTAATACCAAGTCTCCCAGTCGGTTATTTGGGAGCTGCTCTTCCAGAGGACCCATGTTCAATTCCCATCACCCACATAGGAGCTCCCAACTGTCTGTAACTCCAGTTCTAGGGGTCCGGCACCCTCACACAGACATACATATAGGCAAAACACCAATGCACATAAAATTAATAAACTATTAAGATATCATTGGCGGCAGATAGAGGGCAGCTGCTGGTGGTCATTTTCCTATCATATGACAGGAGTCTGGCCTAGAAAGAAACCAATGATGAGAAGAAAGTTCAGACATACAAGAAGAGAACTAGCCATGAGTTCATCTTCGAATCACTGAGTCTAACATGTCACATGCTCGGTTAGTCTTTAGACACTGTAGTGATGGAGTTGGCCTCCTCTTCCTCTCTTGAAGAGATGGCTTGAGTCAGGTTTTCTGACACTTGCCACCAAAAGACTGCTGAAGAATACATGCAGAAGATATCCAAAGTGAAGTGTTTTAAGGAATGCTGAATTGGCTCCATGGAGTTTTATGTTTCTATTATTGCTCATCCATCAAATGCCACTCAACCTCCGAGAGACTAAATACAGAACTGTAGAAACTGCTTTCTCATGGTTCACAGTTGAGCTAGTCATTTAAATAATTTAGTCAGACAACCTCATTTGAATATCTGCTCGGCACTGGTACCACCCTTATGAAGGAAGCGAAGTAAAAAGGAAATATCATTACTTCCTGCCCACAAAGAATGACGGTTTGGAGACTGGGAGTGTGAGTCGGGTGGCTGCTTACCACACACAGAGCCCTGGACTCGATTCCCAGCATCGCAGAAACCAGCTATGCTGGCCTGCCTGCAATTCCCACACTCAGAGACCGAGACAGGAGGGTAAGGAATTCAAAGTCATTCTCAGGCACATAACAAGTCAGAGGTCAAGCTGACCTATAAGAGACACTGTCTCAAAATTAAATAAATAATAACTTAATTAACTTAATTAATAAAACAAAACAAACCACAACACAAAACGAGCAAATAGCCTCAAGGTCCAAGAAGATGAATGCTATTCATGGAATTGAGGCAAAGAATGATGGTGACCCAAGGAAAACCTGGTACTTTCTGCTCCCAGAATGGAAGTGGTCCCTGAAGGCAATACTAGGATTGTACGTCGACTCTCCGAACTCTGTTAGACCAAAAATGATGTTTCAGTCATATTAAATTTCAGACCATGAGTTATTAATGAATAAGTACTGACTAAATAAGTGAGTGAATTAACAGGTTCTGGAATTTTATATCTAAGTTCATATTGGCTCACAGGTCAAGGCTACAGTATAATCGTGACGGGCAAGCCAAGGCAGCGGGAACTTGTAGCATCTGGTCACATGACCTCCACCGTCAAGAAGAAGAGAGTAAAGAACGCTGGTTCTTAGCTCAAGGTTTCTTTTTCTACACAGCTCAGGGCCTCAGTCCAGGGCAAGGTGCCACCCACTGTGAGTGAGTCTTCCAAACTCAACCTAAGGAATACTGGGCTGCAGGCGATTTTAGATCTCATCATGTTGACAACTGAGGTGAGCCATCGCAACCGTCATCCGGATTACAACCGTCAACGTGCTGTTTCATCCAACATAGACCCTGTTGCTGTGTTGGCTTCTCAGATTGGTCAGACTCACCGTGGCTTCTCCCTCTCCTGCCCCGAATCCTTCCAACATTTGATCATCTGCGACGTTTACTCTGTTCCTTATTTCATGTGTGAACAAAATAAATAGGTAAATAAAAAGGAAAAGAAAACATGGCTGCTCCTGGCTTTGGTGGAGCCGGTTTATTGCAGACACGTGGAAGAGCACAGTCAGAGGGAGAGACACCTGGGAGAGTCCGGCATGGACATGACCCTCAGCCAGGCCATGTGGGGAGACAGGATAGGGAAGGAGAGGGCGAGAACCGGGTGCGCAGCCAGGAGGTACAGAGACACCTCCTGGGTAACCAAAGATGTGAAAGAAAGTGGATAACCAAGATGGCTGGATTATATAGAGAAGAGAAGCCCAGCCCTCTGGGCTGGGGAGTAGTGGGGGCGGGGTATGCCAGCCAATAGGTCCCTCTAACAAGTAGGGACTGCAGGATGCAGGGGAAACCTGACATATGTTAAATAGGCACCTCAGCCATGTTTGTCCAGGGTTTGACACCTAACTACACACGCTGCACTTCCAACTGTTTAGACCCACCGTAGAGGTGAGGACAACATTTTTTTGCTTGTTTGTTTCAAGATAAGGTTCCTCTATGTAGCCCTGCCTATCCTGGAACTCAGTCTGTAGACCAGGCTGGCCTCCAACTCAGAGATCCACCTGCCTCTGCCTCCCAAGTCTGGGATTAAAGGTGTGCATCGCCATCACCAGGCTAAAGGTTTTCAACTCCTGTAACACCAGCCATGGACTGCACTTCTGATTAGCACTTGACAGACATTTAAATAAAAATGGGTGGGGCCTAGAAGATAATTTATTTTGAATCTTTGCTGAGGTAGAAGGCAGTCTGGGTTCTGGCTTTCAAGAATCTTCATAGGCTGGGCAGTGGTTGTGCTAGCCTTTAATCCCAGCACTCAGGAGGCAGAGGCAGGCAGATCTCTGTGAGTTCGA